ATGAGGCCCCCGCCGCCCAGGGCGAGGTCCCCGCCGCCTGGGGTGAGGCCAGCTCCTGGCTGCCCAGGATGAGCCCCCGCCGCCCGGGGTGAGGCCCCCGCCGCCCAGGATGAGGCCCCCGCCGCCCGGGGCGAGGTCCCCGCCGCCCGGGGTGAGGCCAGCTCCTGGCCGCCCAGGATGAGGCCCCTGTTGCCCAGGATGAGGTCCCCGCCGCCCAGGGCGAGGCCAGCTCCTGGCCGCCCCAGCCACCACCTGATCCGGCGCCTCCCTTGGAAGCTGGGCCCCAGGTCATGCTCCAGCTGTGCCCTGCAGCACCCCACACTCCCCCCGAGACTCACTCACTGTGCACTCCCTCAGAGCACCAGGGCTCAGCGGGCCCCACGAGGGGGGTGGATGCCCACCCATCTGAGAGCTGCTTTGGGTGCTGGGCAGGAAGTCATGGTTGTGTGGGAGGCAGGGGCCTGGGGAGTCGGTGCCAGAACTGGCCGGCCACCTGGCCCTGCGGGGTCGGTCCCGCCTGGCCGCCACGCCCCCCCGCAGTGACCCAGGCTGGAGGGGCCTGTGTCCCCTCCCCCGCCCCTCAGGGCCCAGGACGCGGGAGCGGCCGCCCACCTGAGCTTCAGGTTCTCCATGAAGTGCTCCATGGTCACCTCGTCCAGAAGCACAAAGTCTGCTTTGCCGCACTCGGGACCTTCTTCGTCCTCCATCCTGCGGGAGCTCTGAGCCCAGGCCGGCACCACCCGACCTTCCCGCCTCTGCCCACACTCGCCCCTCTGCCCGCCCCGCCTCCCCTGTGGTGAAGTAGGAAGTGGGTTCAGGCCTGGGAGGGGCTGCCTCCCTCCCAGTGAGGGGCTCTGACCCCTGCTTCCTGGGCGGGCCGCCTGCCTGCCGTGTGGGCCAGGCGGGCGGTTCCTCCAGGCCCGGAGGAAGCCCACCCCATCGCCAGCCCGCCTTCCCCAGCAGCCGAGCACCCGACGGAGCGCCCTGCAGCGGAGGGAAGGTTCCGTCACCCCGCCCCGCCCCACACGGCTGCCAGCTCTGCCCTGGGCCCGGCGGGTGCAGGGTGGGCACGGGGCCCCTTGGTGACAAACACCCGTGCCCTGGCCTGTGTGTGGAGATGCCAGGACGTCAAGGACAAGCCCCGCTTTGCCTGGGACCTGCCGTGGGGCGGGCAGACGGGCGTGTTACAGAGGCCCTCCCTGTGCCGGCCCTCCACCCCCCTCGGCGGGAACGGCCGGACCAGCCTCCGGGCCCCTTGCTGTGCCGGCCGCGGTCAGCAGCCGCTCAGCCTTGTGCCTGAACAGCATGCTTGACCACGGTGTCCTCCGGGCGGGCAGGTGGCTGTCCTCCCCTCCACAGGGGGCCGCGTGTTTCCCAAACTCAGCCATGTGCTGCCCTGGGGATTCTGCACTCGGAAAGCTACTTTACTGAATAATTGTCTTTCCAAACGCCCTTCCTAAGCTCCGGAATAACTGATGTGCAGTCTCCACCCCCTCAAGAACCTTAAAACACACACCAACGTCATCAAACTGAACAGTGCTTGTCCCGATAAACTAGGCAAGCTCCCAGCAGAGCAGCCTTTGGCTCTACCCTGGGGTGCCCCGGGGCAGGATCCCCCGCGGGCTGGTGCTTTCAGGCCTTTCCAGCCCGAAGCTGGGGAGAACCTGGGGAGTTCCGTGCAGGCGGGCCAGGCGGGCGGCAGTTTCACTTCCCCGAGCCCTGGGTCAGCATCCTGGGTTTGCGTAAACTCAGAACTGAGGACAGGGGGCACCAGAGCGTCAGAGACAACGAAACCCGAACTTGGCCACATTTCCACGTCACAGAAGTTTCTTTCCGTTATTTTTTCCATATAAAACGTCAAGACCCTTTCACGGACGTGGCTTCCAGGCCCCGGCTCTGGACCTGAAGCTCACCCAGCCCTCCACCGGGGGAGCCCCACCGCCACCTCGTTCCTCCGGGGTGAGTGACAGACACCAAAGTCCTTCCCCTTCCTGGGTGCGGCTGACCCTCAGCTTCCCCGCAGGGCCACCCGCTGGGGCAGGGTAGGTAGAACCAGCAGGAGGGGGCAGCAGGGCCCCTCCGTCTCCTCCGGACCCCTTTCTAAGTAATTCTTTAAGGAGACGTGTAGGTCCCTTTCCCCTCATTCGCACCCCATCTGCTGTCTTTCCCCGGGTGACGCATCCGCACAGCAGGTCTTTGGCTGATTACCTCCCCGTCCCCCGCTCCGAGGAGCTTCCGCTGTCCCACACCCATGTCCTCGGGACCACTCCAGATGCTTCCCGGAGGTCCCTGGCGATGCCAAGCTGGTCTGTCACCGCCCTCTTCCCGTGTCAGGAGGCCCCTCCTCTGGACTGAGGTGTGGCTGACCCGACTGCCTCGGTGAAGGACCTGCAGGTGCTCGTCCTCACTAGCGACTGAACTGAACCAGCTCCCTCAGCCCGGCGTGGGGCTGGGGACCCGGCGTGCACAGCAGTGGCTGCAGCCAGCACTTGTCAGATGGAACGGACCTGCAGACCAGAACCCAGCCAGGACTCGGGAAGTGTCCCGAGCGCAGCCCCTTCCCACCCAGTTGGCAGAGGCGCACGTGAGGGCTCGGAGGCACTTGGACTTGGCCGAGACGCCTTCAGGAGGCACGTCTCCCTTTTTGTGCTGCACGGACTTTGGGGAGGAGAGAAGCAGGCTGGACTCGATCGCTCATTTAAAGCTGTTTATTAACCCCCGTTTCTCATTCAGATGCCAGAGGGAAGACACAGGGCCAAAACCTGGGGTCAGAGGATATGCCAGCCTGGAGCCACTGATACCAGCCCAGAACCAGGAAGCAACTTCTTGCGGAGGGGAGCGGTGAGGGCCTGGATTTAAATCCTGCTGCACCCTCGTTGGGCGTCCAGCGTCAGCATCCACTGCATCTGTAAAACAAGACACTGCTGGGGAAGCTCAGTGACGACACGGCCAGAGGCTGCCGGCCGCAGGGGCCAGTGGCCAGAGCAGCCTTAAACCACCCCTGGGCTCCCATTCCCGACTCCTGCCCCCCCTCTGCTGACCAGAAGGCCCCGGGGAAAGGGTGCAGGTTGACCCAATGCCTCACACTCACCCCAGGCCCTGACACCCGTCAACGGCCCGCCCAGTCTCGTGCGCTAGGAGTCGAGTAGCCCTCCTGGGACACTCACCTCACCTCCAGGATGGAGGGGCCAGCCTCTCTTCTAGCTCCGACGTCCGGGAGACGCTGGGGAGGGCGGGCGCAAGTGTCAGGCGCTGGGCAGGGAACAGCTGTCCCAGGCACAGCTGACAAGGTGGCCCCGCCAGGTTTGTGGGTGCCCTCCTGGGAGGAAGCCAGAGGCCTCAGCGAGAACCGGCTGGTTAGTCACACGACAGTCAGCACCAGCACTGCTCCCAGGGGGACGCGAGCGGGGCGCCCTGCCTGCAGGGGCCAGAGCGCTGACCACGGAAGGCACATAGCTCTCTGCTCGGGAGGGGCTACCCAACAGGACAGTCTGGGCCAAAGGCCAGCCAGAGCCTCACCCCAGAACCGAAAGAACACGAGGCTCCCGCACACACCAGTGTCTCCTGACGGCCACTCTGCAGAGGCCAGCGTGCCCATGTCTTCACTCAGACAGGAGAGGAGCCCTGGAAGGAAGGAGGCAGAGTGGGACCCTTCACCCCGCTCCCGCCTGAGACCCTCAGACGGCCCAACCAGCGTTCTTGTCTCCTGCTGGGATCCCAGCTACACCATGCACCATGCCGGCCACCTTTCCCTGGCGCCCACCCCAACTGCACCCATCAGCCCCCACACCAGGGCGAGGACCCAGGGCACGCCCTCCTGTCTGGGGGGCTGAAGGCCTGGCATCCACTCGCAACCTGCCAGTGTCTGGCTGGGTGAGCCCGGAGAAGGGAGTTAGAGCAGAAGGTGCCGCTGTCTGCCTTGGCCTCCCATGAGCACCGAGGGGTGGGGTGGGGCATGCCTGTGCTGTCTGGTGGGCACTGGCCGCTGGCCCTCTGATAGCACCAGCTCCCTCCGGGCAGATGTGGCCAAGGGGAAACCGAAGGCGAGGCCAGAGCTGCCCAGACAAAGAGGCTGTCCCAGCGGAGGGCCCCCTGCTGGCAGAAACAGGTGCCCGACAACACTGACTCCACGGCCCATTCTCAGATATTCCAGGAGCCGCTGGTACTCAATGTGGGATCCAGGTCTAGCTCTGCCCTAGCCCCAGATATTCCAGGAGCCCTGCCAAGGCTGAGGGTGTCAGACCCCCAGAAGGGAACACACAGCAGGAGCAGAAGTTCCTGGCAGCTGTGCCCCACGCAGGCTCCCTGTCAGAGAAGTACGGGAAGTGAGGAGTCCAGCCAAGCAGCCAGGAGAGGTGGGGCCTGGCTTCCTACCGGGGGTGACCCCAGCAGCAGCCTGCCCTTCCTGACCCGCTGCCGGCCCACAGGCACCTGTGTGGGCACAAGGGCCTCCAAGGCTGAAGACGGAGAAAAGGGCAGGGATGGGCACCCCCAGCTCCTTGCCTGTGGGTCCCTGTGGTCTCCACCTACAGCCCTGCCTTTCTCAAGGTCACCCTCGCCTCCAGAAAGGTCACTGCCATCGGGCTTCCTACACCCCGTTCCCGCCCGAGACCCTCAGATGGCACAACCAGCGTTCTTGTCTCCTGCTGGGATCCCAGCCACAGCAGCCTCCCCACAAGCAGTCCTGGCCGAGGGGCAATGTGTCCCCCCGCCCTCCGCCCCCCAGCCAAGTGCGAGGCCGCCCGACCCCCCACCAGCTGTGGTTCTAGCCCACTGGCCCGCCTTCTGGGTTCCCCTCGCCCCCCAGGGCACCTTCCTTTATGACTTCACCCACTGAAGTCACCGGACAATGCTGAACGTTCCACCCGAGCCGGGCCTCCAGGAGGCAGGGCAGCCACCGCCAGCCCAGAGGACTCTGCAGTGCGGGTGCGGACACTGCTGGCCCATGTCTCACAGGGGTGCAGAGAGCAGCCTCAGAGGCACGGGGTGCTCCCGGCACCATGGACGATGCTGCCGTCCTCAAGCGACGAGGCTACATCTTGGGGATAAACTTGGGAGAGGGCTCCTACGCCAAAGTCAAGTCCGCGTACTCTGAGCGCCTGAAGTTCAACGTGGCGGTCAAGATCATCGACCGCAAGAAGGCCCCCACAGACTTCTTGGAGAAGTTCCTTCCCCGGGAGATCGAGATTCTGATCATGCTGAACCACCGCTCCATCGTCAAGACCTACGAGATCTTCGAGACATCCGAGGGCAAGATCTACATCATCATGGAGCTGGGGGTCCAGGGCGACCTCCTCGACTTCATCAAAACCCGGGGAGCCCTGCAGGAGGAGGACGCGCGCAAGAAGTTCCACCAGCTCTCCTCCGCCATCAAGTACTGCCACGACCTGGACATCGTCCACCGCGACCTCAAGTGCGAGAACCTGCTCCTCGACAAGGACTTCAACATCAAGCTGTCCGACTTCGGCTTCGCCAAGCGCTGCCTGCGGGACGAGGGCGGCCGGCTGGCCCTGAGCAAGACCTTCTGCGGGTCGGCGGCGTACGCGGCCCCCGAGGTGCTGCAGGGCATCCCCTACCAGCCCAAGGTCTACGACATCTGGAGCCTGGGCGTGATCCTCTACATCATGGTGTGCGGCTCCATGCCCTACGACGACTCCAACGTCAAGAAGATGCTGCGCATCCAGAAGGAGCACCGCATCAACTTCCCACGCTCCAAGCACCTGACGAGCGAGTGCAAGGACCTCATCTACCGCATGCTGCAGCCCGACGTCGGCCGGCGGCTGCAGATCGAAGAGGTCCTCAGCCACCCCTGGGTGCAGCCCAGGGCCGGGGACCTCGGCAAGGAGGGGCGCGGCCTCCTGGTCCCCGAGCCCCGGCGGACCCCCGCGCCCTCACGGACCCCGGAGCTCCGGGCGGAGCTCCCTCGGACTCCCGAGTCCTCACGCATCCCGGAGCCCTCATGGATCCAGGAACTCCCACAGACCCCGGAGCCCGCTCGCACCCCCGAGCCCCCTCGGACCCCCGAGCCCCCTCGGACCCCCGAGCCCTCACGGACCTTGGAGCACAGCTCTGACAAGTCCACCCCCCCCCAGGAGTCCCAGGAGGAGGCCGAGCCTGAGGAGATGCCAGAGTCCAAGCCCCAGGAGGAGACGGGGCCAGGGCAGGGTGCCGGGCAGCTGGAGCCCGTGGAAAGGCGCTCTCTAAAGCCCCCGCAGACCCCGTGAGCCTCCCCCAGGGGCTGGCGGGCGGAGGCAGAGACACAAGGCGGTGACGGCCGACCCCCCAGATGAGCCACTATTTTTGTCAATTTCCCCCCTCCCTCTGAACATGCTATAGAAGCAATAAATCGCTATATTGGTCCATAAACAGGGTACAGGGTTAATGAGCTTTAGCCAACATCACTGCCCACCTCTCCACGGCACACGGAGCTCACCAGCCGTCCGTGCACCGCAGAATTCAGCCTGCGGTTCTCCAGGCTGACTCCTGGACCCTCAGGACAGGGCTCGTCTCCCTTGCTGCTCCCTACTCCCTGCAGCTGACATGCCTCCACTCCTCCACTCCCCAAACTTGCCTTTTTTTAAAAAAAAAATATATATTTTATTGATTTTTTACAGAGAGGAAGGGAGAGAGATAGAGAGCTAGAAACGTCGATGAGAGAGAAACATCGACCAGCTGCCTCTTGCACACCCCCTACCGGGGATGTGCCTGCAGCCAACGTACATGCCGCCCTTGACCGGAATCGAACCTGGGACCCTTCAGTCCGAAGACCGACGCCAAACTGGTTTCGGCTTTTTTTTTTTTTTAAGGTATTTTTATTTATTTCAGAGAGGGACAGATAGAAACATCAATGATGAATCATTGATCAGTTGCCTCCTTCACGCCCCCCACTGGGGATGGAGCCTGCAACCCCGCCATGTGCCCTTGGCCAGAATCAAAACTGGGACACTTCAGTCCTCCAGGCAAGACTCTACCCCCTGAGCCATACCGGCTAGGGCTCCCCCAGCTTCTTGTCAGTGTCTGTGAGGATACGATCAAATAAACGCGTGACAAGCCTAGAACCCAGCAAACAACCTAAGGCCCAAAACGCTTTCTGCAAAAACGTGACTGCTGTGGGGTCTGCCCTGCAGCGCCGTCCGCCCCCACCTAGTCCCTAGTGAGCACCGGAGCGTGGGTGCGGTGAATGGAAGCGGGACTTGGGTTTGGACTCAGTTACCACGGGGCAGTGCAGATCCGGGGTCCAGCACGCCGGGCCCTGGGCGGGAGCTCCCGGCTGTCTGAAATGTCTATAACCTTGCTCCAGATACAGCAGGGCAAGGCCTCAAACCGTTCCAAAATGCTCTCGCAAGCTCGGTAGGAATGCACAGGGTCACCCCAGACCCAAGCACGCTGGAGGCTTGCAGCCCCGCCCCGCCCCGCCCCGCGTGGGCTGCCTGGGGACCCGGGACCGGCGGCCTCATCAAAGGACGTGTCTCTCTCTCTCACACACACACACCCCGCCATTCCAGCCCCGAGAACTTACCAGACCTGGGGTTGTCCGTGCCGTCAGGTCACTGTCAAACACAGGCTCGCTTCACGTGCTTCCTCCGGTGGGGACGCCCTGCGGGATCACGGGCAGGACCACCCGTGACAGCTGCCCCTGAGCGCGGCGGGCAGGGGACGGGGCGCTCACTCCAGGGCCTCGAGGCGCCGGGCTCCCTCCCCCGGGGAAGCCGCCCCAGCGCGTCCCGACCACCCAGGCCCGTGTCAGGTGGCGCCGGGCACAGTGGGCCCTCCCGCCCGCGCCCGCGCCCCTCACCAGTCTCCGCACTCGGCCGCCCGCCTGCGACCCCGATGGACCCGGATGAAAACCACAGCCCGGGCGCCTCGCAGAACCGCCCCACGGTAACCGCCCGCCATGGCTACCGCCTCTGGCGCCGCGCACGCCGCTTGCGTCATCACGCACTCCGCCGGAAGCGGCACGGGGCGTCCGCGGCCCGCGGCCCCGGGGAAGCGACGTTTTGGGTTGCGGGCCGGGTCGGCCGGAGCCGGGTAGCTGCGCCCGTCGGCGGTTCCTGAGGGGACAGCGCCCCAGTCTAGGCTCAGTGCAGCCAGTGCGCCGCGAGCCTGCCACCCGGGCGGGGCGGGGCGGGGGCGGCCTGGGAGTTCCTCGTGAGGAACGGAGCCGGGGGCTCCGCAAGTGAAAGCGGATGTTGGTCCACCCAGTTCCAAGTGGAAGGACCCTTTGCCTCCAGAATCCCAGGCTCTGCCCTTTTCAAGTGAACGCACACCCCTAATGGCTCGTCTCACAATCCAGGAAGTCCGGGGGGAGGGCAAGGCCCCACCTGCCACCTGACTCCAAGTCGCACGTCCTCCCCGCACCTTCTGCAGGCTGGGGCGCGCCCCAGGGCCCAGCGGGTCCCGCAGAGCAGGAGCAGAGAGAGTCGGAGCCGAGAGGCAGGACACGCAGCTGGCAGGGCACCCTCCCTGAGGAGAACGGGTGGGGACAGACACTGGCTTGGTGGGTAGCGGTTCGCACGGCCTGTGCTGCAGGGTCCGCACTGACAGGCGGCGTGGTTCGTGGCAAAACAGCGGCCTGCAGCCTGGCTGCCCTTTGCAATGTGCTTTCTTTCGGGCAAAGCACCGATCCCAGTTTGCTGTTAGCGTCCACGACTTATCCCGGTGCGTGTGGACGGTGAGGGAGCAGCCTCGGGAGCTTCCTGGTGTAACTTGCAATTGGCTTCCTGCACGGCTTCCTACACGCTGAGGAGAGAGACCACTCCGAGTCGGCAGGTGACAGGTTTAACCAACGAGGTAACTATTGACAGGACGAGGCTCGCTCTCACCTTCCTGTTAGTACCGCCCTCCTCCAGCTGGCCCCGCCCCGCCCCTCAGGCCCCGCCCCGGTCCCTCCTTCACCTTCCTGTCGCGCCCAGGGAGCCCCGCCCAGCCCAGCCCCAGTCCCCGCCCCTCTCCCTCAGGCCCCGCCCCTCCCCAGGTCCCTCTTCCCCTTCCCTTGGCCCCGCTCCTCCGGCCCCGCCCTCCTACTCACGCCTGCCGGTGGTCGGCCTCCCTGAGCGCAAGGCAGGCCGGGAAGTTGGCTGCCGTAAAAATGGCGGCGGAATCCAAAAGTTGAAGTGGCTCCCGCGACCCTGAGGGGAAATGGGCGGGCTGGGGGCGGGAAAGGGGCGCGACAGACGCGCTCCTGCGGCCCCAGGGCGGGCGGGGCGGGCGCCATCCCACCACCCTAAACGGCTGGGGGCGGGCGTGAGGGGGCGGGGCCGAGCCCGGGCCCGGAAGTGCAGGGTGCGGGGTGCGGACGGCCCCTGGCGGCCGCGGGCGGAGACGGCGCAGGGCGGCGGGCAGACGGCGCAGGAACGCGGCTGCGGCGGCCGCGGGGCCCGGCGAGCATGTAGCGGTCGCGGGGGCGCGGGGCTCCGTGGGCGGGCCGGCCGCGGGGACCGCTCGCGGCGACATGGAGGAGGAGGGCAAGAAGGGCAAGAAGGTGCGTCCTCCGAGGGCCGGGCGGGGGCCGAGGGGCCGGCTGGGGGCCCGGGAGCTCCGCTCTGCGGGCGCGGGCGCGGGGCGGCCGGGGGAGGGCGGGCCGGGCCGGGAGGGCGGGCGTGCGGAGCCCAGCGCGCCGGCGGCGGCGGCACGGACCCCGCGGGCGGCGGAGGAGGCGCGCCCGGGACAATGCCGGTAGGTGGTCCGGGCCGGCCGGCGTGGGGGGGGAGGAAGGAGCCACGCCTTTCCGGCCCGTCGTGACTCCCAAACCCGGCTCCGCACGTGGCCTGGCCCGGGGGCACTGCCCGGGCTGCACGGGGTCTCCCGGGACCGGAACCTTGGAGACGGGGCTCCGCGCGATGTACCGAACCTTTGCTGCTTCGTCTTCTCACGTTGGGACCGAGTGAGGCCAGATCCTGTGCCCGCCGGGCCCGTTTCAGGTCGGGTTTCCTCCACCCGGTGCCATCGGGGGTCTCGGTGACGTGACGGTTCGCAGTTGGATTTTGGACGCGATCGTTGGAGAGACTCCTTAGTTTTTTCGGTTTCTAAGATGCGGCGCTAAGGACGGGGTAGTAGAGTAGATGAAGGATTTCACCCTCTTATGGGGACTGACCCGGCCACGTAAGGCAGGCTACCGTTACCACGGAGAAGGGTTTCAGTGAGATGTGCCTTTTTCAAATCCAGGCTTGATAACCTGCCTACAAGCGTCTCACCTACCGCTTTTGGTCCAGGAAGTGTGTGCGTGTGCACTTTCACATTTAAGCTCAGCCCTGCGGTCGGTCCTCACCCACCACCTGCCTCACCGGGTGCCCGGCTTGGAAACGCTGCATTGGGAAGGGGTTCGGGCGGGTGGGGCCCAGGGGCTGCCTGGTGCTGCCTCTCTCACCTCGGTTGCTAGTTCTGTGTCAGCCTGAGTGCGGGAGCAGTTACCTACAGAGATGTTTAAATCTGGAAAACGCCCAAGCAAGTGATTCAGCCTGAAGCGCTAGTCTGCAGAGGCTGCCCACCGCAGAGGAGGAGAGCGGCGTGAAGCTGGTGCCAGCGCCGGCGGAAGGCCCCGGAGGACCCTCGTTCAGGCAGCGACAGGCCAGGGCCCCGCAAAGACCAGCCCTCGCCCCAGTCTTCTCAGTCAGGCCAAACTCTCCCTACTTGCCAAGGAGATTCGCTGGAAATAGGGGGCCGGCTGAATTTCTTCTAGAACCTTCTACCAGCTTTGGTAGAAACATTACACCAATATTGGGGAAACAGACATTCCTGAGCTTTTGGGATAGAAGTGAAAAGCCGGTAAAACTCAGGAATGTGGGAGTTGTGGCCAGTGGAGAGATTCAGGCCCAGAGAAGATTACTGATGCATGTCCTCATCTCCGGTGGGGATCACAGTAGCCTCAGCTGGGGCAGTGCTGGAGATTTACTGTCTCCATGGAGGACACAAAGTAGCCTCAGCTGGGGCAGCGCTGGGGATTCCTTGTCTCCGGTGGAAGACACATAGTAGCCTCAGCTGGGAGAGCCTCTCTCTGCTCTGCGCCTTGCAGCTCGTTTTCCCACAGGCGTCCACGGGCTCTGGGACGGGCTTCCCACCCAGGCCACCACTCGGCACACCTCATCTATTGCCCCGTGCCAGTCGCCTGGCGGAACCTTGCTGCTCTGCTCCCCCAGGCAACGCCGTTTTCATCGTGGTAAACTAAACCACACACATACACACACACACACACACACGGGTTCAAGCTGAAACAGCAGAAGTAATGACAGTAACTTCATGAAAGTAAGTTGGGCATTTTTTAAAAAACATATTTTTATTGATTTCAGAAGGGAAAGGGAGAGAGATGCATCAATGATGAGAGAGAATAATCGTTGGGCCGCTTCCTGCACGACCCCTACTGAGGATCAAGCCCACAACCTGGGTATGTATCCTGACTAGGAATTGAATATGGGATGATATTCAATCCGTGGAGCCACCACAGCCAGTTGGACATGTAAATTCTCTTCCCAAGTTAGCGTCCTCAAAAATGCTTTGCCCTTACCAGATTGGCTCAGTGGATAGAGCTTTGGTCTGTGGATTGAAGGGTCCTGGGTTTGATTCCAGTCAAGGGCACATGCGGTCTCGGTCCACAGCAAGGGGCATGCAGGGGGCAGCTAATTGATGATTCTCTCTCATTGATGTTTTTAACTCTCTCCATTTACCTTCTCCGAAATCAATAAAAAAATGTTTTGTAAAAAGGCAGCTTTATCTCTAACAGCGTGGGTGGTAGGCTCATCTGGGTCTTCATACGCTTGTCTTGGTGCTCGCCAAGTCGTTCTTCAGGCTCATGTTAACGTGGTCTAGTTCCCCGGACAGGAAGCTGCCGAGAACCAGGGGAACCAGTGGATTTCCTTTGGAGTGGCCCAGGTACCGCCTGTCCTTTCTCAGGCTCGCCTGGCACGTAGGAGGAGGGTGGTTGAACCCTGCCAGATCCCATGGAAGACGCTGGGTGGTGGGGATGCAGGAGGAGCCTGGGGGGCGGTGGTGAGCATGGGGACACAGAGGTCTGCTGGGCTCAGAGTGACCGGTGCCTTGCAGGCCACACGTCCTGATTGGTGGTTTGGAGAAGACACCTGCCTCCTTCCCTAGGGAACCCGTTTTGTGCGTTTGACACTGTCCTGTCAGGATGTAACTCCTCTTGTAAGAAACGTAGGTTACACTTGAGTTGGGTTGGGCACATTTTTACAAAAACATTTGACTTAGTTGAGGATCACAGTGACTGGGGGGGCGGGAGGGGTGCAGAAACGAAAAAGAGGGTGGTGAGGCGTCTGGGAATGCGGACCGGGTCTGAGATGGTGAAGAGGGCTTACTATTAGTCATGTTGTGTGTGATATTTGTGTTTCATCCTGTTCTGATCTGAGGGACGTCCATGCCAACATGTTCTAGGCGGAATTCTGTGATTTGTGAGATGGGTGTTATTCAAGCTAGAAGAGGAGGGAGACACTGAGTGTTTTGGCAGTGGGTGTTCGGTATTTATTCTGTCTACAGTGGTGAATTCCTGAGGATTTCCATATAAAAAGTGGGTTATGGTCTCGGGTTACCAGCTCCGGGACCTGCCAGCTCACCTAGGTTGGGAGCGTGGCCTGTGACACGTCTGTGGCTCCCTCCCTGGCCAGTGAGCTCCGTGGTCAGAGATCAGCCTGTGCACCCCGGGTTGTCGATCCCATTTCTGGTCCAGGGCAGGTACCTGGGTCATAGGTTCGATTCCTGGCCCTGGTTGGGGTGTGTGTTGGAGGCAACCCATCAGTGTGTCTCTCTCATTGTTGTTTCTCTCACTTTCTCTCCCTCCCCCTTCATCCACTCTCTAAAAAGCAGTGGGAAGTGCCCTGGGGTGAGGATTAATCAAAACAAACAAACAGCAAGCTGCAGGGACTCCAGGCTCAGGCAGTGGGCTTGTGTGAGGCCCGAAGACTCACCTTCTCTGCAGGTGAGCACAGGTGTGTAACATTGTGTGTGAATGAACTGCAGGAGCTGGTGCCTCCTGCAAGCCTCCTGTCCCTGCAGCTGCTGTGGAGATAGTGGCCCGGCTGAGTCGAGGTCAGCTGGTCAGCACGAAGCCCCCTCCATTGGCCGCCGACGCGCTTGTGCAGCGAGAAGAGGGCCGAGGGTTGGAAAGGAGCTGCTCCCCGCAGCAGCAGAGAAAGGCCCGTGCTCACGTGTCAGGACATGTGGGATGGGACCGCGCTGTGACACAGAGCAGGGCGCCTGCCGTGGGTCCGGGAGCGGCTAGAACGGCTGGAGCTTGTCCTCTGGCACTGACTGCCCTCCCGGTGCACGTGCTGGGCCTGAGTTCAGGGCCACGACCCGCAGCGGGGCCCCGGGCGGGCGAGGGGCTGTGGGAAACGGGCTTTGATACGAGCGAGGAAGGAACTCTGTTACGAAGAAGCAAGCCCATGTTGAGAGAGAGCCTGGTGGTGCCACCGGGGCCCAGCTCACCAGTGTCTGCACGTGGCCACGTGGTTCACCCACATGTCCTCTGCCAGCCCTGCTCCCAGGCCGCCCTGGACGTGGCCCTCAGGTTCCTGTTGAAGCCGGGCCCGCAGCTCAGCAGGGTCCGTTTGGAGATGACCTCTGACGAGGTGAAGGTCAAATGAGTCGGTGATGCTCCCATCCCATGGGACCTGCGTCCTAATCGGAGGAGGAGACGGGCACAAGGAGCTGGGGACGGGAGCAGCCCATCTCCACACCCGGAGATATGCCTGGGTCCAGCCCTGGGGAAGGGGTGTCTGCTGCAGGTGCCCCATCTCCGGTCCCCTATCCTCTGGGCTAGGGGGCAGGTGATTGTGGAGCAAGCCCAGGATATCCGATGGTGTGACCGGAGTCTGGAGCGGAGGCCTGGGCTGGGCCCTGATCTCCATCGCCCCAGGCAGGCCTGGGCACTAAAGTGGGACCACTACCCCCACTCGCTGCTCTGGGCTCAGGCCGCTCGGTCCCATGCCTCCTCGTGGGAGCAGCGCCTTCCTCAGCGCGCTGGTTCCCGAGGCGCCGTGTGAGGGGCTCTGAGCCTGGACTGTCCTTCGGGTAGAAATACAAGGACTGTCTTCTGGGAGTGGGGCCACACGTTCCCTGTGCCCACACATTACAGTTTCCCGGGCTCGCACGTTAGTTCCCCTGGCTCACACGTTAGTCCCTGGGCTGAGCAGTGGTCTGTGGGTGATTACTGAGATTATGCACCTGATGGCAGGCAGGCGTTGGCGCGTGCGGCGAAAAGAATCCTTACTAAGTAGGTGGAATTCGGGCTTTGTCTGGGGCTTAGGCGGTGAGTGCGGGTGGCTCGTGGCCCAGCAGGCGGGGCGGAGAACAGTGGACTCTGAAATGCGAGGAAGCTGGTCTGAGCAGGGAGACACGTGTGGGTCTCGGGCAGGCGGTGCCGCTCTGTGTTGTTGCTGAGAAGAGAACCTGCTGGGTCTGGCTCTTTATTCCGTCCTCGGCGTAAAACTCCTGCTCGCCTTTCCCACACACTGTGTGCCCTCCTCTGTGTCAGGACCTTTGCCTCGTGGCTGGGTGTGCCCGGGGCATTCCGGTTACACACGGTCTGGTTCGTCCATCTCACGCCTGCACAGCCTGCGGTCACTCCAGGAAGGGCAGGGCTGGCTGGTCCGTCCCTCGGAAGAGCTGGCACGTTTCCTGTTTGGAGGTGCACACACAGCCCAGGCCCACCTGCTGCTGTGCCCCCAATGTCAGACCTACTGAGGTTTCCTTCCGGATACTTCCCCTGACAGTCTCCGCTGGTCCGGAGGGGAATAGGCAGCCAGTCTGCCCCCCCTCCCATTTTATTATAAAAAACTTCGAATACACCAAAGTTGAAAGAATTTTACAGCAAATGTCCATACACCCACCACCTAGATCTGCCATCAGTGTTGGCTACACCCATTTTATCCTGTGTCTGCCTGTCTTCTGACCCCTCTGCCCACCCATCAGCCACCTGGCTTCCGGTGGCTTTTGTAGCGTGATGTAAATCTGTCCCGCAGGGGGCCCGGCATGCCCTTGGCCATGGCGTCCAGTGTAACCCGGGAAACTAACGTGTGGGCCCCGGGCTGTGGGCAGTTGCGAGCATGATGCAGACAGCACAGCCTCCACCGTTCTGACCCGGGGGGCAAGGCCTGACCGGCCGGAAGTGTGAGACCACCGTGCCCTCGCTTCTTGTGTCTGCCTCCAAGCTAACTTATGATGTGACCCCAATAAAAACCAGGCATTTTCTGGAACTAGACCACTTAACGCTCATTTACGTTACAAACAAGGAAGAACCCCAGGAAACCCGAGGAAGCAGGTGGGAGGGCACCCCCCAGCCCGGGTCACCGGGAACCGATCCCCTGGACCTGTCGGCTCCCCATAAGGCCGAGGGCAGGAGGGTGGCTGCCCTCGGGTCTGTGTTGAGCCAGGGGCAGTGGGTGCGGGTGGAAGAGACGAAGAGACCTGTCCTGGTGTGCAGCAGGGTGAGCGCAGTGGGTGAGACATGACTGGCTGGCTGTGTACAAACCATGCGTGAGTCTTCAGAGACCGAGGACGGGAAGCTTTCCTCTCTGTTCCCCAAAACCCTGAGGTGGGAGGATGGTGACCAACGTGTGGGAGAGAAAGTCCAGGAAAACGTTTGCAGACAGAGCAAACGGCAGCTAGCTCTCTCGGCGTCGAGTTTTCCTGAGTGAGAACCAGGCACAGGCAACGAGACGGGGGGCCCAGGGAAGATGGATCAGTGGCTCCCAAACGTGGGACACACGTGCACCTGTCCCGAGGGGCGCGTGGGGCACGGCCCCTTTCCGGGTGGGCCCGGGCAGGGTGCTGCCTCCTGTCGTCGTTGGAGCTGGAAGCAGACGGAAGCTGTGGTCTATCCTTCCGGGCGTCACAGTGTCGGGGGAGGGTCACCATGTGGCCCTAACAGCCCAGTGAGTGAGCAGGGAGCACGGGCCTGCTTCCCCTGCAGCAGCTCTCCCTCCTCCGACACCCCCTCTCCCGCTGGTCCATGGACAGCGAGGTGGGTGCTGGCAGGGGCATCAGCTGGCCAATGGGACCGGGGCCCTGCTCTGGGAGGTGGGTGGGGTTTCGGGACTGAGAACCGGTCTCTGGCAGATGGTGAGGGAGGAGCCGTGGCCCGTTGGAGCTCAGAAATGAGGGGCTCGGGTCGGCTGCTGGGCCTGGGCAACTGGGAGGACCCAGAGCTGAGGTGGAAGAGGACCAGGAGGAAGGTCAGAGAGCGTGCCTCCCCGCTGCCCGGGCGCCAGCGCAGCGCCGGGCGGGCGCAGGGGCAGGTGGGGAGGCACCGCAGGCCAGGGGGCGGGCGGCCTCCGGAGTGAACGCTGCTTCTGGGGCTGAGGGGTCCTTTTGTCATTTTGGTGATGAGGAACCTGAGCGCCCGTCACAATGCTGTAGGGTGAGGAGTCTTTGCAGGACTGCACACACTTGGTTTCATTAAGAAGAGGTTTTCAGTTCTGTTTTTAAAATATGTTTTTAGCCCTAACGGTGTGGCTCAGTGGGTAGGTCAGCCTGTGACTGTGGGTCCGGGTTTGATTCTGGTCCAAGGTGTGTGTCTTCATTGCAGGCTTGGTCCTCAGTGTGGGGCGGGTGGGAGGCAGCCGATCGATGATTCTCTCTCATCAATGATTTACCTCTGTCCCTCTCCCTTCTTCTCTGTAAAAATAAATAAATATTTAAGATTTTGTTTTTAAAAAAAATATGTCTTTATTGGATTTTCAGAGAGAAAGGGAGAGGGAGGGAGAGATAGAAACATCACGCCCCACACTGAGATTGAGCCTGCAACCTGGGCCTGTGCCCTGATCAGGAATTGAACCCTGACCTTCTGGTTCATAGGTCGATGTTCAACCACGGAGCCACACGGGCCTACACCATGAGAGTTAATAAATGTGGCACCTGCCCTGCGGAGCCCGGGGCCGGGGGACCTGCGGCTGCGTGGTCGGGGGTGTCCCTTCTTCCCCCGGGAATCGGCCTTGGCCTTCCAAGTGCCCAAGAGCAGGCGGCTGGCGCTCCTCCGGAGCAGAGCCCACGGCACAGCGGCCGGCGGCACTCCTGGCAGCGCCGTGGCCGTGCCGGGGGCTCCAGCCCTGCTCTCTGCCCGCAGCCTGGCCTCGTGTCGCCCTTCAAGCGGGTCTTCCTCAAAGGGGAGAAGCACCGGGACAAGAAGGCCCACGAGAAGGTGACGGAGCGGCGGCCGCTGCATACGGTGGTGCTGTCGCTGCCCGAGCGCGTGGAGCCTGACCGGCTGCTGAGCGACTACATCGAGAAGGAGGTGAAGGTCAGTGCGCGCCCTGGGCGCCCGCTCCCGTGGGTGCCCGGCCCAGGCTCTCTTCTCGGGCTTGTCACGGGGGAGGCCTCCCACGCAGCGGGGACAGATGGGGAACAGTGCGCTCTGGAGGTGGGAGGAGGAGGGAGATGCCGTGGTTGGAGCCGGGACCATTTCTGCTCGGGAGCAAGCGAGGCCGGGCCGTGTGCCGCCGCGGGCGCCGCAGTCAGTGGCTGCTGCCAGGTCCCGCGGACGTGCCGGTGCAGAGGGCTGCTGCGCTCCTGAGCTCCGGTGTCTGCGGCGGCAGAGAGAGCACAGCCACAGCGGCGACCACGCCCCGACGAGCACGCTGAACACGCTCCCGAGGCGCGGTGCGGTCCGTGTGCTGGCGCCGCCTTCGCCCGGCCCCTCAGCGTGTCTCAGCCGTGGCCAGGCCGGGGCCTGGGACCGAGGAGGCCTGGGGTTTCCGTTTGCCGGGCTTCCCGTGAGGGCAGGAGGGGACCTCCGAGCTCTGCCTGAGAACGGCCGGGCGTCCGGGCCCGTGGGGCAGCGGCTTGCGTGTGCGTATGAGGACGGGGCTGCACTCACACCCTCCCGCGACGGGTCCTGGCTCTTGTCACATCGATGTTTGTGCTCTTTCCTCAGCCGGCTGCGGGCACGGGGTGGGTGCTGCGTGTGCGGGCGGCATGAGCACGGCGGGCGCTGTGGGCTGGCTCTCTCTCACGCTCCCTGTCTCTCTCAGTACTTAGGTCAGTTAACGTCCATTCCAGGGTACCTGAACCCGTCCAGTAGGACCGAGATCCTGCACTTCATAGACAACGCCAAGGTGACCCTCCTTCCATCCCACCTCCGGCCTGGGCCTGCGTCACCTCCTAACCCTGACCTCCGACCCTGGGCCCGTGTCACCTCCTAACCTTGACCTCTGACCCTGGGCCCGCATCACCTCATAACCCTGACCTCCGACCCTGGGCCTGCGTCACCTCCTAACCCTGACCTCCGACCCTGGGCCCGCGTCACCTCCTAACCCTGACCTCTGACCCTGGGCCCGCGTCACCTCCTAACCCTGACCTCTGACCCTGGGCCTGTGTCACCTCCTAACCCTGACCTCTGACCCTCAGTCTGCGTCACCTCCTAACTCTGACCCTTACTCTCTGGCAGCAGCTCCTGGCCCTCAGACCCAGGGCCACCACCCGGGGTTCCCAGTGTGAACGTGGATTGTTAATTGTCGGGTGCTGGCTGTTTCACCCACACGCACAGGGCCGGACGGGGGCCGGGGAGCGGGGCTCAGGCCTCGGCGACCTCCCGGCCTCTGACGCCCGTGTCCCCTCAGAGAGCCCACCTGCTGCCCGGACACCTGACGCCGGAGCACGACGCGGTCATCAGCCTGTCGGCCTACAACGTGAAGCTGGCCTGGCGGGACGGCGAGGACACCATCCTGCGGGTGCCCATTCACGACATCGCCGCCGTGTCCTACGTGCGGGACGACGCCTCGCACCTGGTGGTCCTGAAGACAGGTGCGGGCCGCGGGCCTGGCGGGGGCCTGGGCTCTGGATGCTCTGGAGACGGGCGGCTCCATGCCGCGTCAGCGCAGCCACTGGCCGAGAAGCGAGAGGCGGCCTCTGTCCCTGGGTCGGCCTCGGCAGAGGGGGCGGGACCGGGAGGTCCCGGGGGCAGGGTGGGGTCTGGCCACTGGCTCTGAGCTTGTGCTCTGCCCGGCGCTGCCCTCGGGGACACTGGGGTGCCCAGGGCCCCGCGAGGCGTGCCTTGGCCATGCGGTCCTCCGAAGCTGGGCAGAGGGAGGCCGGACCCCCAGGCCTCTCAGGCCGAGGGATCTGAGAGGTTCCCGGGGACTCGCAGGGCCCGCTGCAGCCTCTTCTCGCAGTAGGGCCAAACCCCGGAGCCCACAGCCTCTGCCCCGAGGGCGCGGGTCCCAGGTCGGCACTGCCCGCAGATGAGGGACACCCAGCTGGGGGGACGCAGCGGGACCCATGGGAGCGGCGGCTTCAGGACCCGGGGCAGGGTGCCTGGTCTCTGTCCCAATCTGGACTCGGTCCTGACACGCGAGGGCCCAGCCTGGTTTCCCATCTTCAGGACGGACTGCTTAGGCACGGGGCCATCGGTGCCCCCTGTGGTCAGAGGCGAACAGCAGCGCGGGGTCAGCCTGCACCGCTCGTGCCGTCAGTGCGAGGGCGCTGGGTGGGCTGTGGGGCTCCGGGCACAGAAGGGGGCTGCTCACCAGTCCTTCCCTCCCTGAGAGGGCGGGGAAGGGCGTGGCCGAGAGCCTGCTGTGGGCCCCTCCCTGACCTGCCACGCGTTCTTTCTCAGCCCAGGACCCCGGCATCTCCCCCAGCCAGAGTCTGTGTGCAGAAAGTTCCAGAGGCCTCGCCACGGGCTCCCTGTCTGAGAGTGCAGTGGGGCCCGTGGAGGCCTGCTGCCTGGTGATCCTGGCCGCTGAGAGCAAGGTGAGCCACACAGAGGCCAGCCCCGCCCCCACACCTGGCCTGGCCCTCGACCTGATCCCACCCCCACACCTGGCCTGGCCCCGCCCCCACACCTGGCCTGGCCCCGACCCCCACATCTGACCTGGCCCCGACCCCCACATCTGACCTGGCCCTGTCCCCCACATCTGACCCCACCCTCACACCTGACCCCACCCTACCCCCCCACACCTGACCCCGCTCCCACACCTGACCTCACCCCGCCCCCCCACACCTGACCTGGCACTGCCCCCACCCTGACCCTGTCCTCACACCTGACCCCATCCCCACACCTGACCCGGCAGCTGGTCCCACCCTCAGTGGCCCAGGCCCCAGGTCACACTGAGTGGTGCCTGTTGGACTGTGCTGGGGGGTCTCTTCCTCCCTCCCCGTGTGAGGGGGCTGGTTCCCGGTTCCCCAGGCTGTACCCCAGGGAGGATGCCTGGGAGTGGCAAGTGGGGTTTGGGGCTCCATCAGCCACTGTGGGCTGCTCGTCCGTGACCCTCGCACCTCTGCCCCTTCCCGCAGCCGTGAGAGGTGACCCACCGACCATCCCCTCTGGTTATCCCGTCTGGTCCTGCTTCAGCTGCAGGCGGAGGCCTGGCGTTAGGGGTGCTGCCCCAGCCCCCCCAGGCCGGGAGGGGTGGAGGGTGGCCGGGCAGCGGGACGATTTGAGCGCGGGCAGCCGCCCTCACACTCTGGAGCTGCCACTCTGCCCTGCAGGTGGCGGCGGAGGAGCTGTGCTCGCTGCTGGGGCAGGTGTTCCAGATCGTGTACACCGAGTCCACCATCGACTTCCTGGACAGAGCCATATTCGATGGGGCCTCCACCCCCACGCACCACCTGTCCCTGCACAGCGGTGAGCAGCGGCGGGCGGGCGCAGGGACTGACCGCACCCGCCCCTCTCCCGGCCCCGGCCCGCCCGCGGCTGCCTGTACTTCGGGGCTGGAATTCTTTCCTGGAACCACAGGGGGTCCGGGCACCTCACATGAGGCAGAACGCGGCCGGGGCTCCCAGCCCGCTCGCTGGGTCCCTCCCAGGACAGGCTGTGGGGGTGGCGGCGGGGAGCAGTTCGGGTGCCCCAGCACACAGGCCCACGCACAGCCAGACCCGGGCCCGCCCACAGGCCCACGCACTCCCCCTTCACGTGCCCGGCCACAGCCTCTGGGTTTGGAATCGTTTATTGAGGGTCGAGGCTCTGAGTTGATGCAGGAGGGAGGCCGGCAGCCGGGCCACCATACAGAGCAGTCACCTCTGCCCGGTGCCGGGTTCTCGGGGTTGACAGGTCTCCCTGCCCTGCCAGCTCGCCTGTGGCCGCGGGACAGCTGGTCCTGCCCGTCGCTCTGCTCCCTCAGCCCTCGCTCCCCCACGTCAGTGCCTCAGGGACCCCGTGTTCCGCCCCCGGACCGGAGGCTGCTCCTGCAGCTCCTTTGCTGGCCTGGAGGTCGGCTCCCGGGCTGTCTCTGTTCTTGGGGAGCAGCTGTGCACACGGGGAGCTCACTGTTCCCGAGGGAGATCAGCAGCCCTCGCCAGCTGTGGGATGGGCAGGCTGCAGGACCCGGCCAGCCCCTCAACCGTGTGTCCAGGTGGCCATGGTGGTTGCTGGGCACGGGAAGTCGTGAGCCCTAGGACGCTGCTGTGGGGGCTCTGCAGCCCCCAGGGGGCCCCCAGGCCCACGCTCTGCTGAGGCCTCTGTGCCCACGCCAGACCCCGGGTCCTATGAGAGCTGGCCGTGCTGGCTGCTCCTTGTAACCCCGTCTCCGCTCCGTGTCCACAGATGACTCCTCCACCAAAGTGGACCTGAAGGAGCCGTACGAGGCGGACGCCAGCAGCTTGTGAGTCCTGCTGCCCCTGCCCTGCCCCAGCGCACAGGCCCTGTGGGGTCCTGGGTGCAGGTACAGAGCCGTGTCCTTGCAGCTCCTTCCCCGAGTGCGTGCCCACCGCGCCCCACGCCAAGACGGTCAGCGAGAGCGAGCTGAGCGCCACGGCCGCCGAGCTGCTGCAGGACTACATGCTCACGGTAGGCGCCCGCCGGGGCAGGAGCGGGGTGGGAGCGGGTGGGGTGAGAATGGGTGTTCCCGGCAGGGTGGGAGCGGTGTTCCTGGGCGGGGCTCTGGGCCGGCCCCCACGGTCACCGCCCGCTCCGCAGCTGCGCACCAAGCTGTCCTCGCAGGAGATCCAGCAGTTCGCGGCGCTGCTGCACGAGTACCGGGACGGCGCCTCCGTGCACGAGTTCTGCATCAACCTGCGGCGGCTCTACGGCGACAGCCGCAAGTTCCTGCTGCTGGGTGAGCCGGCGGCGGGCGGGCGGGAGGGGCGGGCGGAGGAAGGCCGCGCAGCCGAGGGGCCTCGCCCTGGACCGGCCGCGCCCCTAGGAGCAGGCTGGTGGAGTGACCGGGGCAGCTCCGGGCCCAGGCTCTGCCGCAGCGCAGGGGCTTTGTCTTGTCCCTGAATGAGGGGTCCCCCGCGGGGCTGGGGGTCACTGCCGTGTGCCCGCAGGCCTGCGGCCCTTCATCCCCGAGAAGGACAGCCAGCACTTCGAGAACTTCCTGGAGACCATCGGCGTGAAGGACGGTCGCGGCATCATCACCGACAGCTTCGGGCGGTACCGGCGGGCCGTGAGCTCCACCTCCACCTCCACCTCCAACGGCAACCGCGTGGCCGGCAGCTCCGACGACCAGTCCGCGCCCTCGGAGGGCGACGAGTGGGACCGCATGATCTCCGACATCAGCAACGACATCGAGGCGCTGGGCTGCAGCCTGGACCCCGACTCGGCCTAGCGCCCGGCCTGGAGCGGGCCTCTACTGTGAAGGGGACGGACGGGCAGGGGCGGCCGCGGGCCGGAGCCGCGGGGTTTGCACACGGCGTTCCTGTGACACTCGGACCTTAAAGAAGCCGCTGCAATGTGAATCGTTACCTCGGCTGCAGCTTGTTTCTGAGCCCGTGGGGCCGTGTCCTCCCTCCATCTCCCCCTCCCCCCGGGCTGGGCACAGGGTCTGGGCCCCCGCCGCCCGGGGAGGACTTGACGGGGCTTCGTTTCTGGCCGTGGGCCGGGAACGGGGTCCGGCGCCTGCGGAAGGAATGCCAGGCCCCGGCCGCCGGACGGGGCACCGGCCGCTGAGAGCGTGGCCTCGCTCAGGCCGCAAGGTTCCTGCCGTCGTGGTCTCCACAAACCAAGTCCCCGAGTCCCAGCCGTCCATGCCTGAGTGTGGGAGGCGGTGGGGGACCCCGGGGCGCCTGGCTCCACAAACCCCGATGGTGCGAGAGGGAACCCTGCATTCTGTGGGGTCAGGAGCCTCTGTCAGGGGTCCCCCACCCTCTTATCCTGGCACTGGCATCCCCTGTGCTGGGATGGGAGCCCACTCGGGGGACTCGGGAGCTAGGCCACCTTCCTGCACCTCCTTCCCAAAGCCCCTGTGGGACCCCCCCATGGAACCATCTCCCCCTGTGGGAACCTCCCCTGGGAACTGCCCGAGGCTCGGTGTTCTTACTGAACCCCAGTCCATGGCCCACACCTTGCCCACAGCCAAGGGACCGCTGGGCACCCCAGAACACAGGGATGGAGGTCCCCCTACGAGGGGAGGACGGGGCGGGGACCTGGGTGTGCGGCTCCAGAGTCCTGCCTCACCGCCTGGCTGAGGCCGTGGGCACAGGAGGGAGGTGAGGGGCACCGTGTGCTGAGCAGCAGCGTGGGGGCTGGGGCGGGGCCAGCGGCTACATGGTCAGCTCCTGCAGGAAAGGGGGGGGTCAGGCTGGGGCCCAGCAGAGCCGCGGGGCATCCGCAGGGCCGGCGCTCACCATGATGGCGTTGACGATGTCACTCTGGTTGTCCCTCAGTGCCCGCACGGCCTTGGCCCGGGACACGTTGGCCTGGGCCATCACCAGCTCAATGTCCCGCAGCTCCAGGCCCGCCTCGTCCACCTGGCACGGGAGGTGCTGGGCTGGCACCAGTTCTCCGTGCAGAGCACCCCCACCTGCCCCTCCTCCATCTCCTTCTCCTCTTCCTCCTCACCCTCCTCCATGCAGAGCCCCCACCTGCCCCCCCCCGTACCACTCCTCCTCTTCCTCCTCTATCTTCATCTTCTCTTCCTCCTCTTCCTCCTCCTCCATCTCCATCTCTTCCTCCTCCTCCATCTCCATCTCCTCCTCTTCCATCTCCTCCTCCAAGCAGAGCCCCCCCCCCCCCGCCCCTGGCCACACCTACTCACCCTCCATGTAAAGCCCCCCCCCCCCCCCCCCCCCCGCGCCCTGCCCCGTCCCAGGGTGTACCTCCTCCTCCTCGCCCTCTGACTCTGACTCCGACTCCAGCTGCACCCGGGGCCCCGGCGTAGACTCCGGGACGAGGGTGGAGGGCTCCGCCGGCACCTTGAACTTCTCGGCGGCAGCTCTGTGCACTTGCTGGGACAGGTCCTCGATCTGCAGCGGGGCCGGCGGCCGTCAGCACCTCGCCCTTCGTCCGGGCTGCCTGCCCGCCCCCCGCCCCATCCTCTCCCTGCCCCGCACTGGCCTTGGCCTCCCCGAAGACCACGTAGGTGTCCGAGGCCGGGCTCTTGAACACGTCGGGCTTGGCGATGACGAAGAGGATGTTCTTGGACTTGTGGATGGTGATGCGGGTGACGCCCTGCACCTGCCGCAGGCCCAGCTTGGACATGGCCTGGGGGCATGGCAGGCTCAGCCGGCACTGCCCCCGTCCGCGCGCGCGCGCGCGTGTGTGTGTGTGTGTGTGTGTGTGTGTGTGTGTGTGTGTGTGTGTGGAGGGGGCACTGCGGGAGGGCAGGTCCCGGGAGAGCAGGCTGCCAGGGCCCAGCTGTTTCCAGAAGGAATCCCCACGCCCACCCCATGGGATCCACCCCGCGGGGCGGGAGGTCAGGAGGCCCAGGTCTGGGGGGCCCAAGCAGGCCCCGCCCACCTTCCTCGCTTTCTTCTCGCTGCGGCTCTGCTTGGCCTTGGCTGCCGACTCCTCGGAGCCCCGGGCTGCAGCCTGGGGGAGGGCGGGTCTGAGCACAAGGTGGGGTGGAGCCCCCTGCCCCCCGCATGCACCCCCTCAGCTGGCACCTGGGCTGGGCCCTGAGGGGCATGGGGTCCCGGCAGGTCCTCCTCCGGCTCCCCCGACGACTCCCCGTGGCTGTCGGAGCGGCTGCCGGCAGCCGGGAGCGGCTCTGGGGACGGGAAAGGGTGAGACGGGCCTCCCCCACCCCTCCTCTGGCCCCTGGTGGACAGCGCCCCCGCCCCCCCCCCCCCCGCTCACCTTCCTCCAGGCTGTCCTCGTCCAGCTGCTGGGTGGCTGGGGGCCCTGGAGGGCTGGCCGGGGCCTGGGGCCCGAAGCCCAGAGGCACTTGGCAGGGGGGTGGGGGCCGCGAGGCTGGGTCTTTGGCGTGGGGGCCCCGCGTGGGGGTCACCTTGGGACTGAGGAGGGCGGGGGGCGGCGGGAGGCCAGCCGGCTGCCTGGACTCGCGGGGGTGGCTCCTGGTTCCTGAGAAGGCGGCGGCCTGTGGGGCTCCTGCCTGGGGCGCTGGGGGGGCCTCCCCCTCCCCCTCGGCCTCCCGCGGACCCTGGCAGGGGCAGGGCACAGGGGGTGCTGCGGGAGGCACCCTGGGCACGGAGGGCTCAGGACTTAGATGTCTGTCCTGGGGCTGGAGTGACGAGGGGCTGGGGGTTCCGGGGACCGCCTGGGCCTGCTCCTCACCCCCCAGGCCTCGCACCGGCTCCCGCCAGGAGGGGGGTGGTGAGAACCTGGGGGCAGGCTCCTCGGGGCAGCCCCTGCCCACCCTGGGCACAGCCCTCGATGGAGACTCAGAAGCCACTGCCGATGGACCCCTGGGGACCGGGGTGCCCTCAAAGCCTCTGTCCCCCCAGCTCCCTGCCCCGGGGGCCTCCTTTGGGGGCCAGCAGGGTTCAGCCCCCACCCTGGCAGGCAGGTGGGCCCCCCTGTTGGTTGCCAACGGGCCTTTGGCTACTTCCTCTCCACCAGAGGCAGACTCTGGGGGGCCCGGGGTCTCCGAGGCATCCTCAGGGGGGTCCTGGGTCTCGGAGGCAGACTCTAGGGGGTCTGGGGTCTCCGAGGCATCCTCAGGGGGGTCCGGGGTCTCCGAGGCTGACTCTGGGGGGGCCTGGGTCTCTGAGGCATCCTCAGGGGGGTCCGGGGTCTCCGAGGCATCCTCAGGGGGGTCCGGGGTCTCCGAGGCATTCTCAGGGGGGTCCGGGGTCTCCGAGGCTGACTCTGGGGTGGCCTGGGTCTTGGAGGCAGACTCTGGGGGGTCTGGGATCTCTGAGGCAGACTCTAGGGGTTCCGGGGTCTCCGAGGCAGACTCTGGGGGGGCCTGGGTTTCCAAGGCAGGCTCAGGAGGGGCTGGGGTCTCTGAATCATCCTCAGGGAGATCCAGGGTGTCCAAGGCAGAATTGGGGGGTTCCAGGGTCTCTAAGGAAGACTTTGGGAGATCCGGGATCTCCGAGGCAGAATCGGGGGGATCCGGGGTCTCCGAGGCAGAATCGGGGCGATCTGGGGACTCCGAGGCAGAATCGGGGGGGTCCGGGGTCTCCGAGGCAGAATCAGGGGGATCTGAGATCTCCGAGGCAGAATTGGGGGGTTCCAGGGTCTCTAAAGAAGACTCAGGGTGGTCTGGGGTCTCTGAGGCAGAATTGGGGGGCTCTAGGGTCTCCAAGAAAAACTTGGGGGTCTCCAAGGCAGAATCAGGGGGGTCCAGGGTCCCCGAGGCAGACTGTGGGGGGTCCAATGTCTCTAAGGAAAACTTTGGAGGGTCCGAGGTAGGCTCAGGTGGGCCCAAGGCTCCCATGGGGAGGCGTGGGGGCCCCAGGATTGCTGTGGGGGTGTACAGGTGGTCTTGGGTGTTCGCGGTGGGCTCCAGGGCCTCTGGGGTGGACGTGGGGGGGCCGGGGATCCTTGCTGTGCCGGAAGCCTCTGCGGTGGGTTCAGGTGTGTCTGGGACCTCCGTGGTGGTTTCCGAGGCAGGCTCTGGGGGGCCTGCGTCTCCGCGTGAGGCCCAGGGTGTCCCCGCGCCTACAGCGAGCTCCCGGCTACCCCAGTGGGTCTGGTCCAGGTCCGGAGGCGCCGGGTCCTTCCCCGCAGCTGCCCCCTGGGCCGCGGGGGCCACGGGCCAGGTCCCCAAGGCGCCGCCCGTGTCTGTGTCTGTGGGCAGGCTCCGAGGACCCGCTGCAGGCTCGGGGGCCTGCGGGAAGGGGTGGCCCTCTCCTCCCGGAGGCGGCTCCCGGCCTGTGTCTGCCCTCGGGGCCCTGGGCTGGGGGCCCAGGATGGCGTGTGCCTGCTCCTGCGGGGACGCAGGTGTGGCCGTGGGCACAGGCTCTGCTCCCGGCCCCTCCTCTTGTGTGGTCTCTTCTGCGACCCCCGGAGCTTCCTGCGGGGACACGGGGCCTGGGGCGGGGCCGGCCCCGGAGACCGCCGTGCCCAGGTCTCCCTCGGAGGCCGCAGGGCCGTCCGGCAGGCCCGCGGGCTGCGCGTGGGGCTCCCCGCTGTACAGCCTCTCGTCATCTGCCCCGGGGAAGGAGGCGGAGTCGGGGTCCGAGGAGGCGGAGGAGTCGTCCGGGAAGGCGAAGGCCTCGTCCATGCCCTCGGTGATGGACAGGTCGGACAGCGACTGCAGGGAGGAGGCGAAGGTGCTGTCGTCCTGGTCCTCGCTGGCCCAGTCCCCGTCGGCGGCCTCGGGCTGCGGCGTCTGCTCCCCGGGGGACAGGGGCAGCACCTCCACCGCCTCCACCTGGAAGAGCAGGCTGCCCCGGAACGGCAGGAGGGCGGCGGGGACCAGCGCATCCTGGCCCAGGAGGTCCAGGTCCAGGAAGTGGGCCTCCTGCTCCCAGGAGGAGCTGCTGTCCGTGGAGAGGCTGGACTCAGGGGACGAGGGCCACGCCTGATCCGGGGCCTCGGAACCGGGTGGGGAGACGCCACGGCCCGCGCGCACCCCCAGCCCCTCCTCGGGGGCCAGGCTCAGGGAGCAGGAGGGGGACGGGGAGGAGGGCCAGCTGTCCGTGTCCGCTGTGACGTAGGAGCCCGAAGGTGAGGTGGGCGGCGAGTCCCCCATGGGCCCGGCCCCAGCCGGGGAGTCCCTGGCTTCCCTGCAGGGCCTGGAGCTGGGGAGCAAGGCCGGGGCCTCGCTGGGGGTGGAAGGAGGCGTGAAGTAGGAATCGGGGTCTGGGGCAGGGAAAGGCACGGGAGGGTCACCCCGAGAACAGGGCGTGGGGGGGTGCAGGCGGGCAGGCCCCCCCTCCGGGTCCCTGAGCTGTGGGGGGGCCGCCCAGGGCAGTGGGGGCGCCTGGCACGTCTCCTCCCCCATCACCACCCGGGCCCCCAAGGTAGCTGGGAGAAGCTGCTCGGCAGGCTGGGCCTCGAGGGGCCTGGGGCCCCCCTCCGTGGGGACCACCCAGGCCGAGAGCGCCTGGCCAGGCCCCACATCCCCGCTGGCGCCCTCGGGCGGGGGCCGGGCGCCCGGCTTGCTGAGCAGGAAGGGGAGGTCCAGGGGGCTGGGCCCGGGGCTCAGGGTGCACTTCTCCGGCTGGTCCCCGCGCGGAGTGGTGGCCGCGGCCGTGCCACACGACCCATCTGTGGAGGGAGAAGGGTGTGAGGAGGGCAGGGAAAGGCACGGGAGGGTTACCCCAAGAACAGGGCGTGGGGGGTGCAGGCGGGCAGGTCCCCCTCCGGGTCCCGGAGCTGTGCTCCTGGAGGGGGCCGGGGAGAAGTTCCCAGGTCTGACCACAGCAGCCGCCTCAGGGGCCGTGTGGGCGCAGCGGTAGCACAGAGGGGCACCCTGCTTTTCTGCCAGGTGCTTGGCAGCGACGGCCCAGCTCCCTGCCTGTGACCTCTGCCCTGCTGGGCTGGGCCGTGGACCCTCCCGTGACCTCCAGGGTCAGAGGGCCCTGGGGGAGGGCCTGCACGGTCTGGGTCCCTGTGCCTCGTTTTCTGTCTGCAGAGGGAAGTGCCCACCGACCTGAGGCAAAGCTCTGAGGGGGCACTGCCCAGGTGCCCACCCGCCTGCTGAGTGCTGGGTGGCTGGGTCCTGAGAAGAGGCCCTTTGGGTCCTGAGGTGGGTGTGGTGGGTGGGGCGGGTGCCTGAGCCTGGGCCTGCATGGCCCCCTCCCACCCAAACTGGCCCCAATGCAGGGCAGCAGCAGCGGGTGGAGCTGGGCCAAGGCTGCAGTGAGGGGAAGCTAAAGGTCAGACGTCTAAGTGACTGGCTCAAGGTCACCGGCTCTGGCAGGGCCTGGGACACCAGCCCCGTCCCCTTTCCTGGACTCAGAGGGAGGCCAAGCCCTGCACCCCGCTCGGCCCCATCCCCAGGCGACCTCCCACAGCAAGGTGTCCTTGGCCGGGGCACATGGCTGACCTCCAGCGGGGCCACCCATCTAGTCTTCCTGGCGGGGTGGGGTAAGGGGGAGGGTGGCGCCCAGCACAGCGGCCCGGTCTCCCTGGACGAGGCCTCTGCAGACTCCCGGCCTGTCCCCCGCCCCCACCGCGGTGCCCTCTGCCTCCCCCTGCTCCTCCCTCTGGGACCAATGCGGCCTCGCGGCCTGCAGGCAAGTGGGGGGCAGTGTCCCCGAGACCCAGAATCCTGGGAGCCGTTGCCTCCGGTCCAGACCCATCGCCCGGGTCCCGCGCCGCGCAGACAATGGGACGCGGGGTCGGGACTCTCGGTCAGCCCCTCCCCGCCTTTCCCCGGTCCGGGGTGTCGGGATGCGGGCAGCCAGGCGGGGTCCCGGGGTGTCAGGGTGCTGGGCGGCCGGGGGTGTGTGTGTCAGCATTCAGGGGGCGCAAGGACAGGGGCGGGGCAGGGACGGGGGGCGGGGGGACGCCCGCGGGGAGCGCGCGGCCTCACCTGTGCGGGCCCCCGGGCCGCCCGCCTCGGGCAGCAGCAGCTCGGCGCGGGCCGCCTCCCCGGGCATGGCCTGGCCGTGCGCCGTCCCTCCGTCTCGGTCCCTCCGCGCGTCCGCCCCGCGGAGCCTGGGCCGCCGCCCCTCGCCCGGGATGGGGGGGGTCAGTGGTGACGTCACGCTGCCCCGCCCGCCGGGGCCCGAATGAGCGTGCGCGCCGCCGCCACGGAGCAGGGAGCCCCCCCCCCCCCAGCGGCGACTCCCCGCGGCGCGGCCCCCCTTCTCCTCCCAGCCGCCGGGGGCTCCGCTGGCGGGAGGCGGCCCGGCAGCATCACCCGCGCTGCGCCGGGAGGCGGGGTCCCAGAGCTCGGGGTGCGGGCGGAGGCAGCGGGAGACCCGGGGGCTGGCGCTTTGGGGGGCTGCGGCCCACCTGTCCCGGGCGGGCGCCTCCATCCCGCGGTGAGCGGCCCGCAGCTCCGCGGCCATTGGCTGGTCCAGGCCGGTCCCCATGGCAACCGCCTCCGGCGGAGCAGCCCGAGGGCGGGGCAGCCAGCCTCTGCCGCGCCCGCCGGCTCCGCCCCGTGGAGGCGGGAGGAGCGGCTCCCCCGGTTCCCGGCAGCGCTGCCCGCCCCGCCCCGCCCGGTGGCCTGAGCGCCGTGCCAGGCTCCGGGAGATCGTCCTTGTCACCGCGGCCTGGGGGGCAGGAGCAGCTGTTCGGGCGGGTGGGGTGTCCTCCCTCCTGCCCCGGCTCCGCCCAAGCCCGCCGAGCATGCCGGTCCTCCAGCGCTGGGAGTCCTACTCCTCTCCCCTCCCCCGCCTCCCCTCTCCACTGCGAACAGCTGCCACCACCGGCACAGGAACCCAGCCCTAAGGGCCGGGGCTTGTCTGGGGCTCTGCCCCCCTCCCCCCACGGTAAACCCCGGAATCAGCCACTTCAGGAAGCCCCAGTGAGGGAGCTCCGGCTGAGGGACCCCAGAGGAGCTCCGACAGGAAGGCCCAGCCGACCACCAGGCCCAGGCAGGCGCATTCCACCCGGGAATCAGTCCTGCCAGCTCTGGGTGCTTGCAGACTTGGGGGACCCCGGAGGGCTCTGACAAGGGGCACCCACTGGGCCCAGCTCCCAGCCCAGAGGCTACGGGAGTGGAGAAGGCACTGGCCAGGGCCGCCCACCACAGAGCACCTCCCAGCAGACGGTGGCAGGACGCCAGCAGCGATGTCACGAAGCCACAGGCCTGCGTGTGAAGCCGATGGGATGGCTGTCTGCTAGGGCAAAACACTCACATCTGCTTGCCCATCGCCCAGAATGCCGTAAAAACCATCGTACCAGGAAACCAGCTAGAGTAAGTGACAGCCAGCCTGGCCAGCGTGTCAGCGCCCAGATCCCCTGTGGGCTGAGCAGAGCTGTGGGGCAGGGTGTGCACAGCTCACATGTCCAGCGGGAACTCCCAGACCTGAGCTGGTGCACCCTGGGTGCGTCCCTGCTGGCCCTGCACCTTGGGGTGCTCCCCACCCTGCCTGGGCTTGGGATCAGCAGCTTCAGAAAACCCTCTATCTCTGTGCCCGCCCCCTCCCTGCCCCCCGCTGTGGTCTATGCACTGGTGCCTGGGGCGCCCCCATGACCCCAGCCCGCAAGCAGAGGATTTAACGAGGGTGGCAACAGCTGGCATAGGTACGGGCACGAGGAGGCCCTTGGGCACATGCCCACTGTGCTTCCGCTGAGCTGGTGGAGGCCAGCACCCCCATACCCCCTGGTGAGGGAGCGGGGGGGGGGGGGGGGGTGCCGTTTCCTCCCAGTGCCAGGCGGCACCGGCATGGAGTCCAGGTGAGATGCGAGGTCTCCTGCGCCAATGCCCCCCAATAGCGGCTCTCGTGACCCTGCCAGCTCAGGCCCCACCTCACCATGGGTGCCAGGGCACCTCCAGGATGACTTCACAGCCCGAGAACCCCACGCCGGGCACTGGCCCCACAACCTGAGGGCTCAGCCTGAGCGGGCGGACCAAAGCCCAGGCCCCGGGAGGCCCCGTGTGGACGCCCACGAGGAAGGCCTGTGGGGGCAGAGCAGCCAGCCCCTGCCCAGCCCCGGGCCTCTCGGACAAGTGGCTCTGCTGATGGGCGAGGAGGGGACGCCCGGGCAGTGGCCTATGGTGGGTGGTGAGAGCAGGGAGGATGGCGAGGGGTCACCGCAAAGCCCAGGAGGCCTCCTAGTGTTGAAAACCAAAGTGTAAGATTTATTTCCACGAGAGGAGAGGGAGGCCACGCAATGCAGGGGCCCAGGCCCTGCCCGTCTGTCCTCACTGCCATGTCTGGCCCCAGCCCAGCCCCGGCACAGTTCATGCGGGCGGCCTACTTGGCCAGCTCCTCCGCCACGGACTTGCGCATCTTGTCCTTGAGGTAGGCGGCCTTCTGCCACTCGGACCTGAGCTCCAGCCACTCGTAGTAGGGGACCTGGGGGAGGGCACGTGTGGGCGGGGCCCAGCCTCCCCCCGCAGGGCAGGGCTCCACCCGTTGGGCAGAAAGCGGTCTGACCGTTCCTGTGGTTTTAACAAAGGAGCAGACGGCACCCGTGTGGCCCTCACAGGCCGTCTCTGGAAGGAGCCGGAGGGACGGTCTCCCAGGCCAGAGCAGGGCTCCGGGCTGCTCACCTGGTTTGAACGGGGCGACCCGCCCCTCCTTCCCTCCCAGAGGCCCTGGCCGTGCGAGGCCCCGCCGACATGCCCCCTTCCCGTGGGTCACCGCCTCCCGAAGGCACTCACGTCCACCACGAGGAAGCCGGCAGCCAGCATGTGGCGCCGGGCGAGCGCGAAGCGGCCCAGCAGGTCCTTGCTGCGGCTGGCGAAGTTGGGGAACTCCCAGCGCAGGAAGGCCAGCCTGGGGGGAGAGGAGGCGCGGGCTGACCGTGTCCGTCCTCGGAGGGCCGGGATGGACAACACCCAGAAGAGCCGGGGGGTGGTGGTGGGGGGCCCTAGGCACGTGGCCTACCTCTTGGCTCTGGGCGGGGGTGGCGGCAGCTGGCCCCCCGAGGGCGGGGCCAGATGAGGGGCCACGAAGTCCCTCAGGGGCAGGAACTGGCCTTCGGCGTCCAGCAGCACCTCCGCGTCTGGTGGGTGACAGATGGGATGGTCGGCTGTGTCCGGTGGAGGGCGGGGCAGGCCCTAGCTGGGGGATGGGGAGGGAGGCTCACCGAGAACCCAGCCATACTGAGTGGCCACGGAGAAGCGGCCCCGCTCGGCCGTCCCCAGCAGCCCCTTCAGGGTCTCCTGCAGCTCCTTCTGCAGGGGCGTCACCTTCCTTTCAGGGCCGGGGGGCCCGGGGTCCAAGACCGAGGCCGGCAGCAGGGGGCCCTTGTACTCGGGGTGCTCCAGCTGGGCCGTGGCGTTGATGTGCAGCAGCTTCTGAAGGGTGCTCTGGCCCCTCGGGGACCGGTCACCTAGGTACAGTGGAGGGTCACCTGCAGGCAGGCAGGCGGCAAAGTGCAAATGCTGGGGAGCCCCAGCCACCGTCTCCCTGCTTCTGGCCCGGAGGCTCCCCCCGCCCTGGCCATGGGCACACTGGCCGCAGCGCAGCCCCGGGCAGCACACGGCCGCCCCCCCCCCCGCCCCGCCCTCACCTAGGAACTGGGCATGCAGCTCGGGGCGCAGCACGGCCTGCAGCTCCGACGCCCGGGCCTGCTGCAGCACACACAGGGCCCACAGCACGTCCACCTGCAGGGCCGGCTCCAGGTCGGCCAGCTGGCTCCCCAGCTTCTCATGCACCTGGGGAACAGGGGGGTGCAGGGGAGGCTCTGCTCAGCACACGCACATGTCCTGGTGGGAGGCGCGCTGGGAAAGGTGCCAGGAGCCATGCAAACCCCCTGGGAGCAACCTGGACAGAGGACATTCAGCTGGGCTTTCCACAGAGCCTCCCTGGCAGACGGTGAGGACAAACCTCGGGACGTCCGAGGGCCCAGACGGGGAGGCACCGGCCCCGAGAGGGGCTGAGGCACGAGGGGACGCGGCCGGCCGGCTGGGAGGGGCCCCTACAGGGACCCGGCCAGTGGGTCCGGTCTCGGGGCTTAAGGCGGTGACAGGAAGTGAGCCGCCCAGAATGCCTTTGGGGCTGCAGCTGCCCGCCCGGTGGAGTGCGGGGTTCGTGTGTTGCCCCAGACAACCCCGGGGAGGTCCGGCTCCAGCTGGCTCGCTCCGCCCCGCTCTGCCCGGCCCCCTCCTTCCCGCCCGCAGGGGGAGGGCCGGTCCGGGCGGGGCGTACCAGCTCGAAGAAGGCGTCCTCTTGCCCGGGGCGGAAGTTGAGGCGGGCGAAGGCTAGCAGCACGTTGCAGAGGTCTGACACGGCGCCGCTCTGGGCGTGGCTCAGGACGTGCTGGGGGCGGGGGCGGAGGCGGGGTGAGGGCCACCCCTCCTCCGGCAGCAACCCCCCCCCCCGCGCCCCCCAGCAGAGCCCTGCCGAACGGGTGCCCATGCACCGCCCTCCTCCCACCACCTCCCGGTGGCAGCCGAGTGGGTCTGGCCTCGCTGCCTGCCCGGTGGCACTGCAGCCACCGTGGCCGTGGCTCTGGGAGAACAGCGTCCTCTCCTCCGACGGCGCCCCTCAGTCAGAGCAGGACCCCAGGTTTGCAGTGGCGTTTCCAGCCCCTGGACCTCCCTGACGAGCCCCAGGACTCGGGGCGCACCCGCTCACCTGGGCGAAGGCCTCGAACAGGGGCAGGCTGAGCCACTTGAGGAAGGCGAAGGACTTGGCGCAGCGGGCCACCTCGCCGGGTGTGAGGCTGGGCACGTGGGGCAGCAGGTCGGTGGCCAGGCGCTGGAACACCTGGGTCTGGTGGAAGCCGAGTTTGCCTTCGGGACAGAGCAGAGCCTCGGTTCACCTGGAGGCCCACCCGGCACCCAGCCCGGCCTCCGGTCTAGGAGTTTGGTGTCTGCAGCCAAATTTATCCCACGGGCACAGTGTTTCCACGGCAGCTTCCGGGCCGGTGCCTGCACGGGGTCGGGCGCGGCTCACCGTAGGCATAGGCCAGGTCCAGGAGGACGCCTTTGGTCAGGGGGAAGGGCTTCTGGACCAGGTGGTAGGAGATGGCC